CATGTTTGGTAAGGTGGAGGGTCAGAGAAAAAGGAAGACCCCCAGTGGGATGGATTGGCAAAGTGACAGCATCAATGGGCTCAAGTGTGGCAACAGTTGTGAGGTTGGCCCAAGATGGGGCAGTGTTTCGTTCTGTTGTGCATAGGGTCGCTATGAGTCGGTACCGACTCAATGGCACCTAACAACAACAACAACAATTTTTTTGACAGGAACTATAACCGACTCGATGGCACATAACAACAACAACAACAATATTCTAAGTAACTTCATGTAAAAAAGATGAATTAAGAAAAAATAATTCGTAATTTTCCATAATGACATTTAAAGATTAGGTTTCATGTATTTTAGAATTTCAATTTACAATATATATTTATAAATTAAGCCTAGTCATATGAGTAAACCTACTTTAATTTCACAAATTCTTTGACCCTTTCCATCATCTCTATTGTCTTTTTTTTTTTTTAAAAAAAAAACAGTACTTTGTTTTTGGTAAAGGTTTCACAGCTGTTTAGGTCCCCCCCATTCAATCATTTTTATACACATTGTTTAGTGACATTGGTCACAGTCTTCCATTGTCTCTTAAATTCTGTGCTGTCTTAGATTTATGGGATCTCTTTACTGTTCTCTGGCCTTTATATATTTTTGGTATTACTTTTGTTTGTGGTACAATTTTAGGGTTATAGGACTTTAAGAGTTGATGGAGCCTCCACTTACAGTGTCTACTCTAATCTCCCATTCTTGGTGAGATGGACGAGTAGAATATGTATGTTGCTCAATATTCCTCAACTGTCAGAGCATCTCATCTTGTTGATAATATCTTAGACTCTGTCACTATGCCTAATCTTACCTGTCCCACAGGCCTAAAGGAAGTTTTTCATGTCTGAAGTCTACTCTAGTATGAAGTCTAATCTACTGAGATTCTGACTTTGGATAGTGACTATTAATTTTTGCCCTGAAAGTTTGTATACACTTATTTTTCTGCATTAGGATCTAGTTTTTGTTGTAAATTTATCTTGCCTCCCACCTCTGCTCATTATTCTTTTATATAAGTTACTAAGATTTTTACTGCTCTTATATTTCAAATGCTACATAATAATAGTAACACAATAGATTCGCTATATACCTTTACTGGTCCTTCAATTATATAATAAAGTCTCATTTTGTCTGTGAATATGTGGTTGTTGTTGTTGTTGTTGTTGTGAAGTGCTGTCGAGTCGGTTCCGACCCATAGCGACCCTGTACAGGGTTTCCAAGGGTGTGGTAAGCAGTATTAAATGATTTTTTGATCAATTAATATTCTCTAATTAGAACGGACTATGTATATCCACCCGGCTAACTTATTAAAGAAGAATTACTGTACAACACTATTTATTCCGTAATGCAAGAGACTTACGCAGTACCTCACAGTTGCTTTTGTAAACCTCAGTGTAGGTTGTGATACAAAAACAAATTTGCTTATTTAAAGTTTTTGCCTCTATTAATTAGAGGTTAAATTGTTCCATAACAGCTTCCTGAATCCTCCACAGAAATTTGAGAAACAAGTACTTGATAAATGTTCTATCAGCTAATTATTATTGCTGTTTTGTGCCATCGAGTCAGTTTTAACTTATAGCTACTCTCTATAGGAATTCCAAGGAGCGGCTGGTGAGTTTGAACCACCGACCTTGCAGTTCAAACTGACCTTGAGGTCAAGTGATTATCCTGTGGTATCACACCAGGACTCCAATTATTATTAACCAGTTGTAATTTGAGTTGTATGTAAGTACCTCAGCAAAATCAAGAAAGTATTTCATCTGTCTCCTTAGTTTTACACAGTGCCCATTGCCTCGATCATTAATGAACTCACTGGATTTTCTTGTGTATGTCACAGTGGGATTTTCTTGAAGTGTCACCCATTGTAATGTTTTTAGAGAAAAGTCATTTTAAGACCTGTTGTGCTCTGTTGTGGAAACCTACGATGTGGTCTGTATTCCTTCACTTACACAAGTGAGTTATTGAACAGAGTTATGCACAGTATTTAGCCTTGTTTTTTCCAGAGGGATGGATGTTGTCATCAGATAGAAGATTACAGTGGCAATAACAGCTTGGATCAATTTAGAGTTTAAAAATCACTACCCTCTTAAATAGCATCCTTGTTACGACATTGTGAAATTAAATGGGTTAAACACTGAAAACCCAGATTTCCCTCCTATGGAAAGGTATTTGAATATAACAAGAATTTGTGAAGACATACCTGGGTGTAGGTTCTCTAATTCTCAGCAGACCTTGCTCCAGATCTTCAGAGAAGTATGAGCTGTAGAGTTAGCAACAGCAATAGCAGTCCCATTTCAGGGATGTGGTTTAAAGATGTCTCATATTGACGTAGCTGAAACTGTGGTTTTCAAAAAGTTTAGCTTTATGTAAGCCTCCTAAGTAAGTTATTTAAAACCTTATATATATATTTTAAGCAATTTAGATTTGCCAATAATTTTCACAAGAAAAATTTTCATTTGTCTGTTGTATCTAACTTTTTTTTTTTTCAAATGCTGACGATGTATTCGCTGTCATAGTAATTTCAGAAAAATGTGTTTATTATGGAAAGATACAAGGTTCCTTTAAAGATAATATGGAGCCTTGTGGCACAGTGGCTTAAGTGTTG